CCAGCACACCAACATAAACTACAGTGGATTTCAATTCACTTTTTAGCATCAGTGGTGATCTAAGCAGTGAGTTCTACTCTATGGTTAGTAGGTCAACATTTGTGGTTTCTATTTAATTTGCCAGAATTTCCTTTCTTTTGTTTTCTCTTTTCTTCTTTTAGACATGACTTCTTTTACCTCTAATACCATCCTTTTCCTTACTGCAACTGTTGAAAGCTTTTTTTGTTTATTTTAAAGTCTTCTGTAGCAGTATAAATATACTCTGAGCCTCTAATTATGGTATTTCTTTCTGTGCCACCTGCAAGCATTTTACCTTTTTAGCTGCACAGTTAATTTTCTTTAAGTCCCTAATTTTGTGTAGTTTCCCTTTTTAAAACTTAATGCTATGTAAAGGACTCCTGGCTTTTTCCACATGTATTGAATTTGCCCAAGAATTGTTATAGGCAGCTTGTCTGTTGTTTGTGGAGCTAGCTATCAGAATTCCCTCTCTCTCCTAAATGGTTGCCCCAAAAAGCACATTTTTATGATATCTTAAAAGATACTATCAGCATCACAACTCAATGAAACTTTCACAGTGTGAATATGGGCTACCCCAATCTCCCATTATTACTTCATTTCTTGTCCACAAAGATTTGGAATGGATGACTGAACCATGTCTTATGTTTAATACATGGATTCAGACAATTAGATTACTTTAGTTTAATATGTATTCACTGTCACCCTTTTGCAGAAATATTTGGTAAATCGTGTGAAAGTCTTTCAAAAATTTAGACTAGTGGGGACATGGACAAGACCAGGCAGCCTTTGATTGGATGTAATATAATGTTTTGTTACAATTTTGGGTCCCAGTAAAATTATTCAATAAGACAGCAGTGAATGAAAAAATATTTTATTCATTAAGTTCTCAATTTACCATCCTGGTAATGTAAGGGACTATCTGAATTTTGTATTTGTTTACAACAGATTACTCATGGTGGGCTGAAAGCTCTTCTGTGTTGATGAAATTTGGTAGTATAATTCTGAATTTGAATGAGAAAAAAAAATGCTTTCAATCAGCTTTTTTCCTTTTGAATAATAGATTACTCTTTTCATATATTATAGTATCTACGTTTTCCTATAGATCTTCTGTTCACTTGTATGGTGAACTGACTAGATGATGAGGTTCAGTAATAGAACATAGAAAAGCTTTCAGCAGGGCCTGGTTACTCAGCTTACGTATATCAATTTAGTAACATCAGTTCCACACTGCTATGATAATTTACACCAGCTGAGGTTCTGGGCACTGATCCTTTTTATTGTGTCTTGACTTTTCTAGCACGTAGGTTAAGCAACATTTGATAACCATATGTTTAGTGTGTTGTGCCAGTAGAATAGAACTTAGAAGGTGGAGTGTGGGAAGAGTGGGAATTGCAAACGTGTATTGTTAGATTTTATTGACTTCAGAATGTGGCGTAAATACAATGTCAGGTTCTCTATAAAACAAGGCCCCCATGTGGAGTCAAGACATGCAGTGAGATCCTGTAAAAATTAGTAAAGAAGTCTTAAAATCAGGCAGATTTGATTGTATTTTCTTCTACAATTCTCTTAGAAATTTAGCAATCTCAAAGTAAACTTTAGAAAATACAAAGCCAGTATGCAAATGCACATCTAATGTGTCAGACTTCTGAAGCATGTTTGAGTGTTTATATTCTACTTCAGTGTACATGAACAGGCAGAAAGCTTTTCACTGTATGCATAGGGGAAGACAGAAGMGCTTCTCTTAGGAACTCAACCCCTTGTGCGTGTGTGATTGAAGGGAGCAGTAAAATAGTAACTGCTGATTRTGCAAGAGCTACATAAGTGTGTGAGTATTCAGAGAATGTCAGCTTTCTTTGGATACTTTGGTGATCAATGTACACCCTCTTAGGAAATCTGCAGGGAATGAGTATGGATAATGATCAATGGGGCAGAAAGGCACTAGGGAAACAAATGTGAATGGAGAGCTGAGAGCATTCCTGTGGAAAACTCAACTGTATAAAAAGAATTGGGCATCTGATTGTGTCAGTCTGTTTTCATGTATCATCTGTTGCATGTAAAAAAATTATTCTTTTTTCAAGTCTAATAAAAGTACTTGCTTTTAGAATTGAATGACTTCTGAGTTAAAGGGAGGGGAAGTTATAGTAAATTGACAAATTACAAACTTCTTTCTGGAAGTTTCAAAGTTCAGAGAGCCTGCTTGCAAAACCTTGAGGTTTTGAAAACTMCATTGTGGTGTGAAGTTTAAATGGGGAAATATAGTAACATACCACAGAGTGTCCCTTGGGTTGTGGAAAATCACTTCTGTGCTACTTCTGGTTTAGTTAGTTATTATTTGTAACCCAATTAGTGTTATTTGTCTAGATTTGTATTAGACACAAGTCATCTAGCAATTCTTTYTTTTTTTCTCTGTAAGAAGGTATGAATGAAATAACTTCAACTTGCATGAATATAAGCAGTTGTACTCTCATGCCATTATCAAGCTCTCACATTGAAAAAACAACTGCCTAACAAACACTTCAATTTCAACAATTATCTAGGACCAATTAATACACATACTTTAAACTGTTCCTCACCGTGGAAAGTGATGACAGCACATTGCAGATTTACTAACATTTAGAATCCACAGCTAGAAACAGGAAAAAAAAAAAGTTTTAATCAGTTTTGGGCATCCAAATAATTTATCTACAAAATTTGTTTCACTAAATCCGTTGATGCTGTTGGCATCTGCCATCCCTGAAATAGAGCTTAAAGGCTCCCTTTTTTTCTTGACTAGAGGCTGTCTTGGCAACCTATGTTGTATTTGCCCACAAATACACAAGACTCATTGCTAGTCTGCTTACTGCCATCATTTCCTTGAGCATGTGTTTCCACTTTTAAACCCAAGTGCCGTCCTTACAATGTAATGACCTTCCTTCATATGGCAGAGCCTTAATTCAAGAGGCTGTGTAAAGAGGACTGCAGACTGACTTCACTGAGCTCCAGGGTCTGATGGCAATAGTCTTCCAGTAGAGGGGGTGTGGTGGACATCCTCTGGGTTCTGGGTCTGAAACATCTCAAATTACTCAGCCATATTTGTCAGCTTAACACCAGCGGGYTGCTCTGTCTGCTTGCTGCACTGGCACCTTGCTTTGTTATCCTTCTGTGCAACTATACTTCCTCCCCTCATGTGACAGTTGAGGCTGTGCTGAAACGGGCAAGAGAGCTTCCTTACCCTGCTTCTCCAGTGCTGTGACCAGTGCCATTAACTCCGTGTATTAATGGGGGTAAATTTCAGCTGTTCAAAACGTTGCAATTCATCCGTTATACAGATTAGTATYTTGGTTTTTATCATATATAGTTGTGCTAATATAGCAGATATTGATGTGGCACTGAGACAGCAATGCTAAAAAGTAGGGACGTTGACAAAATACTGGTTTGTTGAAGCCCAATTTATTTCAGCTGGTATGTTCTCTAAAATTTATTTAAGGGGRAGTGAATGTCAAGTACCACACTTTATTTTTAAATGCTACTGATGCAATTCTACTTTGATAGAAGGAGATGTAGAATTTTTCACATGTATCTTCACTGGGTAAGCAGAAGTTCCCATCTCAATACCACAATTTTTCTCYCCCTGATATTTGTTACTAAACACTGGTTGAAATTCCATTCTATAAAATAAGAAGGCCTTCCTGATACATGATCATGATTGAATTCTGCATTTTGTGAGTTGATACAACTGAACTTGGTTTCTTCTATTAAGATACATTAATAGAGAAACAAAATTGTAGTTCATCTATCAGTAGATACTGTAAGAGCCACATGGAGGTACTGCAGTTTGTATGGACTTTGAAAGTGTTTTTTATTCCTTCTGCACATAAAGCTTTACACAGTCTGGCTCCAGTTGCCTGTCTAGGCCAGCACGGCCTACCGTGTTATGAATAACTGTTGCTGTAATTGTGCTACATATTTATGGTGCAGTCTGTGAGAAAAGAAAATGAAGACTATTTGGCAATAATTGCAATGAACAAGAAAGTGCAACGAACATGTCTAAGTCAGGACTAAGTATTTCTGTTGAAATTGGACAGTAGCAAGTACTGAAGGATATGGTTCTGCATGTAAAAACTAAATGTCTATTGGACAAGTCAAACATGAGTAGACTTGGATCAAATGCTTTCAAAGACTAAAATTTTAATGAAAGCAGTAAACTGTGGACCARTATAACCTGCAGGCTACTGTTCTCTTCTAAGAGACATCCAAAACATGTTTTGATATTGTCCTTTCTATTTTGGAAAGTGATTGGAGTATACTACTAAACGAAAATCTTTCTCAGTCTTTCTGTGGGTCTGTATTTGTGCCTTGACGATGTCAGTAAAGACTGGTGCTCCCATGACACTGTCTCATGTATAATACTTAGTACAATCCTGCTAACATTAGTGTGCTAGTCTTCTRTGTTTAGTCTTAGAAAGACTGAGTGATTTTGGAAGAATTTTAATTGTTATAGAATTTTCTTGATCACTAAGGGATGTTGTGCTATAGGCCATGTTTGAATGTTTAGGATCTCTACATTTTTTATGTTTGATTTGTGAAGTTAGAGTAGTATGGTGACAAATTCTACATCTTAAGTGTTTCCCAATAAAATATAATAAAACACACATTTTTAACATTAACATACAAACACAACCTATTTTTTTTATTTACTTTTGCTATTTTGTATATGTTTTTGAGCACATGTTTCATGTGCTTTACTCTTTGCCTCAAGTCAGTACAATTTTTCCTCAGACCTCCCATGCAGTTAAATGTATGGGGTAGAATGGTAGCTTCCAAGCAGGTCACTCACCCCTAAAGAAAACACTTTCAGGTCATGTCATATAACCTGTATCGTAAGAGCAGCTGTGGGTAAAATTCTAAAAATTACTATCCTGATTTTTTTTTTTGTTGGTTTGTCATAATATAATACATTTGTCATAATATAATACATTGTTCTCTCTTTTTTTTCTTAATAGATAAAAAAATATTTTGAACTTGAGCCACTTGCACGCGGAAAGCGCTGGATTCTTAAACCCTGCTCCTTGGATGATATGGAGGCAGTAAAAGACAGCTTCTCCCTTCTAATAAACTTGCTAGAAGAGAGAGACTTCGAACCTTCAAGAATGTGAAAGCTGAGAGAAAGAAGTTGGTTCCGAGGCATCACTGTACCTGCTCACTCTGTCACAGCTTAATTGTGGTGTGGTATCAAGGCTGAGCTGTGATATCTTGATCATACAGAGTTAATGCAGAATGTCCTTTTGTTAAAATAAATGTTCTGTGAATCAGGTACACAACTATTTCCAGTAAAGTTGTCTACACTACTGAAGTAGGAAGTTCCTCTTTGTTTACCACTATTTCTGCACACTGCATGTTGCTTTCTTGCATTGTGATCATCCTTTGTAGAAAATTTTACACGCACAAAAATAACATAGTCCCTAAAGGAGAAATTCCACATGCTACCTTGGATTTAAAAAAAATAACTAATGTCTAAAGAATTTGTGAGTTTAATTTAGCTTGTTTATTGACCTCACAGTATGGAAAAGCACAGCCACTGAGAACCTTAATAGGATACCTAAAAGGCAAGCAGTTTCATATTAATCCAAAGGTAGTTATTCCTGAGGTTTTACTAAGTGAAAACACAGTTGACAAGTTAGTTGAGTCCTCTTCTAAAGTCACTGCATAATCCTGATGGAGGCAGTTTGGTATTTTGCCGGAAGTTTGCTGGAAAGTAAATTAACAAGTAGATGTGCACAGATAACAGCACTTGGGGAAAATAGCCGACATAAGCAGGTGATCTAAGTAAGAAGGTTTGTAGAAATATATGAAAGATTTTAGAAATACACAGAAGTTGGATAAAGTAATAATTTTCATTGAAAGTAATTTTCCATAAGAAAAGCAGAGCAAATGTCTGTTAGTTCATCTGTGGAGGCTTTATTACTACTTAGAAGTAGAAGTGATTTTAAATAAGGATTGCTTCCTTTATCACTCATTCGTAGACTACTACTGTTATTGTAACATTGCCAAGGCATCTATCCCATAATTAAGGCTYGTCCAGTGTTTGTACTACAAGCTTCACTTTTCAAGGGGATCATATCTTGTTCTTTCAAACTTCCTCTGGGCTGAGTGTTACTTAGAAGACAAAAAAAGTAGTCATTGGAAACAACATTTGTAATACATTTAGAAAAAGCCGATTTGGTTCGAGTAACACAGTCCACATTTCCTCTTTCTGTGTTTTCCCCATTATAGATTTGCAGTATTTTGGCTGCCATTTGTTGATTTTTTAAAACCTTATATACTGATCTTGTCCATTAAAGAAACGTGCCAGGCCACTGGTTCACCAAGTCAGTGACAACAGGGTCTGTGCAGATCAGTCACTGCACTGGTGCACGCCTTGAATGCTGTGCCTTGCGCATGCAGCTATCCTTGTGCATGAGTGTCTGCAAACACAGACTCGAGTGAGGTGTCATTAGTTCCTTATCGACTCTGCTTCTCTCTTGAAGCACACAACACCTTGTTTTCGGGACTTTAGGTAACATATCTTTCCACTCTGAGCATTTATTTTCTGTTTGAAGTTTATTGTAGTTTCACTCTAGTTTATTTGGGGATAAGAAAATAGCAAATATCAGCTTTCAAAGGCTCATAAAAGCCATTTCTCTATTACTTGTAATTTTACTCTTTGTTAAACAAAATATTTCTCATAGGTATTTTTGTTTACTTCTCAATTGCGATTAATTTCTTGCATTGCTCCCACTGTTTTAACTGCTTCCTATTATCAGAAAAAAAAAGCTGGGAAAACTGGTAAGCTCCTTGTTTAATTTTGAGATGGAATAGGCAGGAAGCCTGAAGGGCATGTCCTTGCTTTGTTTTTCATCCTCTTTCCTGCCAGGTCAATCCTCTCAGTCCTAATACTCTTGGAACAACTGAAAACTGGAATTGTTCATTTTAAAGCACAGAGGAGCCCTGATTTGGTTCAGTTCTCTCTACACACTTTAGTCGGGACCCAGCTGCCCATTGATTTCTGTTGTGTGGGCTAAGGAGGTTCCTTTCCCTTGATTGAAAGAGGAACTGGATCTAATTTACATTTCCAAACTCCCAATTTGCTGACATGAGCTTAAGGGTGACAGAGTCCCCAAATTTCCACAAGGTCCCCAAATTTCTGTCCTATTTAGGGACAATAACAGATGAGTGGTGAGGAGGAGTGGGAGCGTTATTTCCCAGAGAAGTCAGGCAGTTTGGGGAGACAAAATGAGGGATTCTGAGCTTTTATTGCTTTTTCATTGGCCATTAGTCAGAAGATGTGAAATAAAWTTTTTTTACTACTTTCCCCTTGTTTTCCTTTAGTTGTGGACCAAAAGGTACAGGAAATGAAAATAAAAACCAACTCTGTTCCATTCTTGAAACTGTACCTATTTCTACCATCAATGCATTTGTCTGGTCCAAAAACTTTAGTGGCTCCAAATTACATTTTGGTTGCGATCTCCCGGCTATGCACTGTTTGAAGGTGCTATATGACTAAAACCTAACTAAAGCCTTGAAAAGGCCCAAAAAGTCTATGATAATGTGGTTTTGGAGTATATCGTTGGCCAYTTAGACTAAGACCTTTTGATGCATCAGTTTTTTCTTTAGGCAAATATTAACTGCACAAAAGCAGTGCTTTTAATTTTCAGAATTATTTTGAGTATGCTTTTTCTTACTAATACAGTGATCATTCCTCATCACAGGTTGAAACAATACCTCATAACTGCTGAAGGCTAAGACCAACACTTAACTTTTCTTTGAATGTAGAACTTCTGTGGTTTTRTGTTGTAGATGGACTTAATGGATGTGTACCTTTTTAATGTCTATAAACAACTTCACCTTTTTATGAGGGGATAAAAATGTTCATAGCAGCTCATGTCACACTTTCTTGTCTATAGTGTTGTTGAATGCTCTGGCTATGGTAGAATATGTAAGCACCGTGTGGTTTTCATTCAGATAACCAATCTCAATTGCTTTGAGGTTTGTTTCTTTGTTTTAATCTTTTCACGTGTGTTCATCAGTTATGTGGAATAAGCTTGAGCACTAGGCTCTACTTTCCATGCAAGTTCATTAAGAAGTGAACATTGTCTTTTTAAARAAGATATTGTGCTTTAATGTTCTTTAGCCATCTGTTAAATTACTTTATGTGTGTATGTGTGTGTGCCCACACTGGGCTTCTTCTCAGACCTGTGGCTGTCTGCAGTGTCTCAGCCGTCAGAATGAAAACATTATCAATCAGTATCCAACAACAGCTGGTTTTGACAACCTTCTGTCTGCTGCCTAATGCTTTACACCTCATCAGTAAGGCTTCTTTGTCTACCCACTCTGAGCTGGTAATTCTAACTGCTTCATGTTGTGTCCTGTACTTGTACTTCTAGCATTTGTATAGCTAAAAAGTTAAGTCTTAGTGGGTTCTGATATTCTTTCTTGCTGTATAATGCTCCATGTGTATCTTAGCTTGCCTATTCAAATGCGCTATACAAAAATCTGTGATGTATTATTTCGTTTAACTTCTTGCATTTCATTATATTTATAGAAGTTGCAGATTTTTGTACCRTATTACTTAATACAGTTGCCTTTTTGTAATGGCAATTAATTTATATTACAAAAGTTTGTATCTTTACTGTAGTCAAAAGTATTAGTTAACTGCCATATTATCTTGACTTTATACTAAAAATACAGTGTCTATACACAGAAGTTGACTCAATCAAGTGGTCAGCTGCTGACATGGGGAACTTGTACTGTTTGTGATTTATACATGATTTCCACTATCAAAAAAAAAAAAAAAAAAAAAAAAAAAAAAAAAAAAAAAAAAAAGAAAATAAACACTGTGTAGAATTGAGTTGATAAATTTTCATTTCTTGAGTAAGTAGTCCGTTTGGGAGTATGGAATGTTACCTTCATTTGGAATCTTCAAGGTAAATTATTTACTAAAAAGTGAAAACAAATACTGCTGTATAATCATTGCTACATCATACACTTTTACACACTTACACACACATTCATATGAAATAGAAACTTCCAAGAATTGACTGTTTTATTTCCACAGCAAGATGTTATTATTCTGGCAATACGTTTAAAAGATATCGCAGGTTTATTGGTGAAAGAGAGATTGGAATAAGCGTTACAAATGATTCTGTAATATTAAACTGAGGGATGTGTTTATGTGACTACAAATTCTTTTTAAATAAATGACATGGCAAAGTACATATAAAAAACAAAAGCTACTGAAGCTGAGCAAAGGAATATATTCTGGGGAAAATAGAAACTGCTGAATGTTGTCCTATCAAACACTGTTTGATGCTCTCGCAGTGCAAGTTGTAACAGCTGATGGAAGAAGACCATTGCTGAACCAGACTGGAGCTGCTGATTCAGCTACTGAGGTATGCTTTTTCAATATCAGTTTTTAAATCTGACTCTTAACCAAGACTAGGAATGAAATGAAAGATTGGTAAACATAGAATTCTTTCTAATTATTTTGTTTCATACAAATAGGAACTGAAGATGAGCTAATCATGCCTCATTTAATAGCTCTTAAAAGAATTTTCATTAGCTCATTACCCCTTTGACCTAATAGTTCAAACAAATAAAAACATCTGTTTGTGTCAGCTGTAGGGTTAGTCATCCAGGGCCCAGGTTAACATGAGGACACGAAAGACTCCCATATCCTACATAAAAACAAAACCCATAAATTTTTCAGCATCTGTAGCTGAAAAGGACCCCTGAAATCAAGTGCGGCTGTACTGAATTCTGTTAGGTGAAGAAACTGAAAAGGTCATTACCCTTCTCAATCCTCTGCTTTCATGAGTGAACTGACTAATTTCATTGTGTGGGTTGGACTGAAGATGAAGTTTAAATAGTTCTGAGACATTTATGCTTAATTCTTATCTGCTTATAATGTATTTTAGCTTCTATAACAGCTATATTTAGCAAAGTCAAAGTAGGCTGTATATATTGCTTGTTCATTCACTGAATTTAATAGGAAAATGTAATAGGTGGTATTCGGGTGGATTTTGATGGGATATATTCAGGACAACCTTGTTTTTGGAGGGTGTGTTTGTGCATCAGATCTGTTCAGACATTTATAATGTCTTAAATGCACCTTAATACTTTAATCACTGAATTTCTTTAGGAAAGGCAGATATTCATATGTCAGTGTTGGTATTAAGAGTAGTCTGTGCAGCTCCAGTGACCTGTGGCAATGAACTGGGGGACATGCGAAGTATTCTAATGTTGTTTTCAGGTTTACAACTGAAATACAACAAATCCAACTGAAGTAATCAGCAAAAGGCCCAGTACTACTTTGAGATTACAGCAAAAGAGACACCCAAAAAAGCCTGTATCATAGAGTATTCTGAGTTGAAAGGAACCCACAAGGATCATCAAGTCGAGCTCCTGGCCCTGCACAGCACCATCCCCAAGAGTCACACCATGTTCCTGAGTGCACTGTCCAAATGCTTCTTGTACTCTGTCAGGTTGGTGCTGTGACCACTGCCCTGGGCAGCTGTTCCAGTGCCCAATCACCCTCTGGGTGAAGAGGCTTTTCCTGATATCCAACCTAAATCTCCCCTGTCACTGCTCACCACAGAGCAGAGATCAGTGCCTGCCCCTCTCTTTCTCCTGCAATGAAATCTCACCTTCCGTCTCCTTCTCTCCAGGCTGGTTTTGGTAAAGACCATATTTGTAATGAAAAACTGTTGTATAGTTAATTTCTAAGCACAGAAGCATTTCCTCACACACAAAAAAGCTGTACATATACTTGAGAATCTTTTACTTGCCAGGAAGTAAAAGGCATGTATTGTGCCTAAAACTCATAACAAATAAAAGCAGCCACCACACTACTTTTTTCACCTGTCACCTTCCAAAAGTGAAATGCTGTTGTTCATTATTATTATTATAATGCCATGTMATTATGTTGCATTTCAGTGTGCACTAGAAAGTACTTGCATGTAATAAGTAAACGACAAAAGATCTTTTTGTGGTTTGGCAGTTTCCTTGTATGAAGAGTTGCCATCTTTCTAAGGAAGCATTGAACACAGGAGCCTTATATTACCACTTTGTTATAAAAAACTGCTGGCTGAAATGCTAAATCATGGAAATCCCAAAATGAAGGTCTGGTGCTGTTCAAATGGAAAATCCAAGAGATTGTATGCAGGAGAGAGGAAATCATGACTTGCATATGAGCGTTGTAATACCAAAACAAATGTAATGGCTAATCACACTGCAAAGTATTTAGTGTTTTCACAATGTGCCAGTCTTGAATCTGGAAGGTTGATAGATATTTTGGAATCAAAAGGGCATTTTGTAAAAAAATTGAAAAGGTTTATAGTAGGGAATATTTGGGGCTTGTCAACTTTGACATAGTCCCTTTAAAACAGTAATTCCTGCATTAAAGTTGTCACTTTAAAATTTCTTCTCTAGAATTTATTCCATTTTGTCTTCTGTTAGCACATGCTAAAGTAGCATTTTCTGTTTTGCACCAYCTTCTCATTTATTAGAAAGCACATATTCTAGTATTTCCTCAGAGAAGCTTATACCCATGTTGCAGTATTAYTGTAACTTTCAACAACCCCATTTCTGCCAGTATCGTTTTAATGCTAATGAAAACAAACACCCACTTGCAAAACTATGTCAGAATTATTTTATTATGGCATTCCCATGTAGGGTATCTCTGTAGGACCTAGATATTCAAGATGCAAATGGAATTGCACCATTTAAAATCAACTCTGATTGACTGCAGTACCTGGAAAACTGGTTTTTTTTTTGCTTAACGGTGGAATGAAAAATGCAATCTCATCATTTTCTCAATATTTCTCTTGCTGCAGAAAAGAAATTAGCACTCATTTTCAGTAATATGAATTACAACAGCAATAGTCCAGTTTTGATAAATTGCTTTGTTTGCCAGCAAGATAGTTGTCATCCTCTCTGGTTTACACATGGGTGTCAGAATTGAAAGGCTTTCTTCAAGTATTTGAAACTAAGATTTATTTTAAAAAATGCTACTTGCCTTGCCTAAAAATATTTTTTTGCATGATTTGCAGGAGTGTGATTGATGCAGGAAAGTTCACTTTTGCCTTTAAGATACAGAGCATGACCTTTTGGGTACAGTAAATACAGTACTGCAAGTCTGTGAAAGTCATCACATATACTAAAGGTATTGAGACCATTTACCTCACATTCCTTCCTATTAGCTTCCACAATTAACATGATCCACAGCTGAAAAAATAATTCTGGTTGTCAGTGATAAATGGGGTGAAATCGTCAATCACTGAAGTTGACAGTATTATTTTRAAAAGATATTGCAAACAAATGTTTACCCAAAGATAGCAGTATGTTGCTGAGGCTTTTTTCCTTGAGGTTCTCTCATTTCA